CCTGCCCCGGGCAGTCACCGCTGCCATAAGTCTGATCGGGCTGACACAGGGCTGTAATGGAGGAGACTGGTGCGATGTCAGTGTGTATCCTGAGAGGGAGGACACACATTGAATCACAGCTCTGGGGAACGAGTTCTTTCATATTTTACTGGGCTGAGGTGAGGAAACGCGTCTCGCAGCAGCTTGTCCTGTTTCGGCAGAGTGATGGTGACTGAGGCAGTGATGATGCAAGTTGTTTTTAAAAGCCCTTTTCTAACGTGGATGATAGTGATGAAGATGTGATGAAGCGGGAGAAGATCATTGGGTGGAGGGGAGAGTGGAAGAGGAAGAAGTAATGATGATGAAATTTTTAAAAGCGATGATGAAAAAAGAAATTCTGACAACACGGCCCTCACTCAGCATGTATGACTCTTTATATATGGAGTAGGTAAAGGAATTGATTAGGTCAGTTCCTTTATGGTGAAAAATGAACATGATAAATTCATTTGTTCTATAATTTATATACATTTTAAATTGAAACTTAATAACAAAGGCCTCAGAGTCAAACTGCCGTGACCTCTCATAATGAAATGCATCTGACCTGGGCTTGACTCTCAGCACAAGCTTTTAACAAACCACTGACTCTCTGTTGCCCAGGGATTTTTTTTTTTTTTTCTCTCTTGTATTGATCTTTGCTTTGTGGCTGCCTCAGCTGACAAGCAGCAGGAATTTATCTGTGCTCTTTTAAGTATCCTGTGGAGATTCATTGAGGCATGCCTTCGATTGCTCAGCGCAATCCGGGCCTCTTCTTAATAGCCTGCAACGCTCTTCAGTCTGGTCTTCATTAACGTGTTCTTTTCATCCTGATTGCCGTGGTGGTTTTGTGTGTGAGTGTATATACGTGTAAAGATTACATAATACTGTGCTGAAATACAGCGGGCGCATTCAAACCGGAAACTGGTTTTTAATGTTGTGATCGATGTATGGTACAACTTCACCTACATGTAGGATAATTGTACCAGTAGTGTGTTTCCAGCCACCGTTTCTTATGTCAGGGGTGTGGTAGAGTTTATTCAAGTAGAACTCTGCCTTAAAACAGATTTGATTTATAATTAGAGCTGCAACGATCAGTCAATTCATCGATTAGTGGATCACCAGAAATTGAATCAGCAGCTATTATGGTAATTAATCGATTGTTTCAGTCATTCTTCAACCAAAAGTGACCAGTATTCTCTCTATTCTTAGTTGTATATGACAGTAAATTGGATATCTTTAGGTTTTGGACGATTGGGCTGGCAAAACATTAAGGACATCACAGTGAGCTTGGAGAAATTGTAAATGGCATTTTCCCACTATTTTTTAAAAACATTTTAAAGACTAAACAACAAATAGATTAATCGAGACAATAATCGGCAGATTAATCGATGATAATCAAAAATAATCATTAGTTGGTCTAAAATGCTATTAAATGCCTTTACAACTAAATTAGTTTGAGGTCTTAGTATTGCTCTCAGATCTAAAACAGAAGACGGATTCTCCTTGGACTCGACGGAATTGTTTTTTTAGGTTTTTAAGTTTCAGAAAAAAATATCTCAAGCTGTTGTAGACCTGAAACACATTTGAAGTTGCTCGGCTTTCTTACCTGGCACCGCTACTGTAGACTGTAGAAAATACTTTTTGCCTTTCTCTTTGATGGACTTTCCAGAGATAAGATAGGAGATAAGACAAAATGAAACCTTCATATGCATCCACAGTAGAGGTTTATGTAGTTCATCCAAGTGACATATTGCTAATGATTCAAACTGCCAAGTGGGACAGCGTGAAACACATTAGTCTCAAAGAAAAAAAAATCCTTAAATACTATTATTTATTTTAGTGTATTGGAGCTGCTTGTTAGTGAGTTTGGGGTGATTTTAAGTCTGGTCTTTGTGATCATAACAATGTAGTGGTATAAGTTTGTGGAATTACTTTAATATTCCTGTAGAGATTTATACACTACAGCAAACCGGTTCCAATCTCAGGGGCCTGTAAAATCTCCAAAAATCTTACAAATGTTATTATTATTGCTCTGTCAATTATTTTCTTGATTAATCAATTAGTCATTTGGTAAATAAAATGTCAGAAAATTATGAAAAATGTCAGTTTCCCAAAGATTCCCAAAGATTTTTTTTTTTTTTTACATATATGACTCAAAACAATGACTCATCAGTGCAGCTTTAGTCACATCTCTTGTCCACCTTCCCGTAACATCTTGTCTTATAAACACCAAGATGGCTGCAGCTCTTGACAAGACAGGTAAGTAAACAGCTGTTAATGCTAACGCTATGTAGCAATAGCAAAACTTACAAATTAACTCTAAAAAACAATATACTGAACCAGTGCATCCAGGCCTAGACCACGTCATGTAGTTATATTTATACTGTATATCACCATTCAGAGAGGCTGATACAGTCGGAAATATGATTGAATTATTTTTAATTAGATTTTTTTTAAATAAGGTTTTAATTAAGTTTCTAATTAGCCTAATGTAGGGGAAGGTGGGGTCTGGATGAAAGTGATGAGAAGGGGGGAATGGAAGGAGGGGGTGAGGGTGGAGGTGAGGGAGATAAAGGAAAGATACAGAGATAAGTGACAGAGGGTGGAGAGAAAGAGAGGGTGTCACCATCACACTTGTAGGACTAATAATAATAATTGTAGCAGTGGGTGTTGAGGGGGATCAATTCCATTTGGAAGATGGATCTTTTGAGGATGTTGTTTCTGGACATGCCGTCAAACTGCTCAGATAAATGGCTCCAGCTCCTGTCCTCGCAGGCCTCTCACTTTCTGTTCTGCTCTTTGACGTGCACGCCTCCTTCTTCCTCTCCATCTGATCCTGGTTCTTATCAGAGCTGAGTCCAAACTTCAGTCTCTTCAGCAGCCACTGCAGGTTTTCCAGCAGAGGTCTTCTCTGCCTGTCCTCAGATGTCGGGCACTTGAAACCGGCTTAGTTGTGCCTCTCTCCTGCCTCCTCACGCCTCCTCTGATGCTCCTTGTTCCGATCACTTACAGTGAATCTGAGGCTTGAGATGGCCTCCACCTTTCTTTCCACTGAAGCCTCCTCTCTTGCTTCAGATGCTCCTGCCCATGTTTCTCCAGGGGCTTTCTGCTCATTGGCCTCCTCTCCTCCTCCCCTCTCTCTTTGGCCTCTTCCTCTCCTCCTCAACTCTTATTTTCTGCCTTTTCAATCTTTCAGTTTCTTTAATCTCTTTCCCTTTTTCTCTCTCCTGCACATCTGCAGCTCCGGAGCAGCTCTTGCTCTGCGCTCCATCTCCATTTCCTTCAACTCGTTTAACATTTCTTTTTCTGAGCTCTTTCCTTCTCTCCTCAGGGGTCAGTTTCCTGATGCTCAATCAATCTCCATTTCAGCCTGGAGTTGACTTTGGTGTCTTTGTTCGGCCTGCGTCAATCCAGCTTGCAGCTCTCAGTGTGTGTGACAATGATGCCAGAGTTTATATAGATTATTTCATGTCTGCATTTCTGATTCTCTTGAGAACCGCTCATCCAAAAAACGTCACGGCTGATGCTTCACTTCCTTGGGTCGTCAGCAATACACCAGTGAAGTTTGAATTAGATCAGATGAGCGAAAATTGAAGGACAGACAGACAGACAGACAGACAGACAGACAGACAGACAGACAGACAGACGGTTCTTGATTTATTAGTAGGATTATGGTAGACTGTTGTTTTATCCACAATAAAATTTTATGATTTATCCCATGAAATACCTAAGGTGTGCTCATAATGGCTGACCTGACCTTTCAGTAATTTTCTTTCCTGTACTATTTCTTTAATAAGTGATTTATATAGCATATGCCTAATATAAGTCATGTCCCGATAACAATCCTATAATATTCTCGGCCTTATTGTAATCTTGATGTAGTTAGGTTGGTTTAGTTATTTTCATATTTATCGCTGTCAGGCAGAACATCTGGCCCTTCCCCCATGGGATTATAAAACACAGCTGTTTTATAAAACATACATCTTATGATAATTTACATTTTTACATTTACGAAACAAAAGAGCGAAAGCAAACTAAAGTGACAACATTATAAGCACGTCTATCTTCTGTACCTATACTGTATCTACAGTTTATCCGGTTTATGGGGTTTGTCTTTGTGCATCATCCATATTTACAAAGCCTGTTTTTGAAGAATTGAGCAAGTCCCAGTCAAAGGGGCAAAATAAAACAAAACTCATTTTCTATATCATTCACAGAGCACATTGTACAAATCCACTTTATCTTCTTTCAGATTGACAAACCGCCCGACAAGTACTAAAGAAATACCAGAGCTCAGCTGGGCACATAGAGATATTTACTTTTAAGATAAATTATAAACATAATTCTCAGTATCTATATTCATTTTTTATATTATACTAAATTTATGCAATTTAGTTTTTTTTTTTTATAACATAAATGTTCCCACACGTCATGTTTTTTCTTGTAAAACATGGTAAAGAAAGTCCTGATGTGTATCAGCCTCATACATGACTCATCTAAGGCTTTTCCTGCTGGCAGTATTGTTATTTATCTTTTTTATTTTTTTTATTTCTCGGGTTACTTTATTTTTGGCATGATGATGTGTATAATAGGATTGCACTGTAATATCCGGGGGCAGGTCCAGAGTGGAGTGGGAGTGTCTGCGCGCTGCTCTGCCTTCCTACCAGGAAAACGCTGGAGGAGACCCAGAGTGCCACACAGCCGCGCACTGCAGAGGAGAGAGCAGGACGCAAACACCACCGAGGACTATGTCAGCTTTCTCACGCACCGAGGGACGCTTACACCACCGGCGCAGCGCAGTCAATGCACATCCGCTGCCTCTGCTTTAGTTCCGCAGACACACATCGCCCTGTTTCACACTTATGCTCTTCTGAAACCTTCACCGCTGCTGCTGCTGCTGCTGCTGCCGACTCTGGTCCATCCCTGTCCCCTCCTCCCCTCTCTTTCCTCCTCCTCCTCCCGCTCTCCGCCGTCCCGTCGTCAGGATGGACAAGACACTCTGCAGTCCGCATCCCGGGACCAACAAAACCAACTCTTCCTCCACGGACCGCGGGAACTCATCGGCGTGCAAGCAGCCCAGCGGCCGGAGCGGCTCGCACAGCCCCGGCTCCGGCTCCTTGGGTGGCCCGGCCGGAGCAGGAGGAAGCCGGGGAGCTGTGCTGGGGAACAGCATGAATCTGCAGCAGCAGCAGCAGCAGCAGCAGCAGCCGGGGCGGAGGCGGCTGCTANCGCACAGCCCCGGCTCCGGCTCCTTGGGTGGCCCGGCCGGAGCAGGAGGAAGCCGGGGAGCTGTGCTGGGGAACAGCATGAATCTGCAGCAGCAGCAGCAGCAGCAGCAGCAGGCGCGCAGGAGGCAGCTGGAAGGAGTGCTGAGCAAATACACCAACCTGATCCAAGGCTGGCAGAACAGGTAAGCACATGGATGGAGTTATCGGCAGAGAGAGGAGAGGAGGAGTGGGGGGGGGGGGTTTAGATTGTGATTCCTGTCCGCTTCAGGGTCCGTGGCTTCGTTCGTTTGCTTATTTGCCCCGTCCACTTGCAACTTTTACACCAACGTTCACATTGCGAAAGGGGAGCGAGGAGGAGGAGGGTGGGGTGGGCGGGTGGGGTGGGGGGTGAGAGGGGTTTAAATCCAAACCTGCTTCCAGGCTTGTAGGCCTGCTAATGAACTAGTTTACCGACTATTGTAAGTCAAACAAGGACTCGCATCTACAAATTCAGATAACAGCTTGTGCAGAGATGCCTGCATTAAACCATGCCTTTGGAAACAGTGCACTTTTGGTTGAGAGTGTATCAGAGACATATTGACACAATGCTTCAGTCATTTATGAGGCCAGATTTAGTGGCATTGTATGTAGAGCTGAGACAGGAGCTATTTGGATGACTCATAGGTACTAAAATGAACAGGTTCTGAGATGTGAATCAAGCTGGTTTTCTTTGGTCTTTGAGCTGTTTGGAAAGTTCAACAAAGTCACCAAGAAAATAATTGATCATGTTAATAATGGAAAGTCATCATCAGTTGCAGCCCTAGCTGTATTGGATTCTAATATTATGCCTCCCTACTGTAATAGCAGTGGTCAAAACATTAGACACACATTTCAGTATTATGCATCCCAGTACAGGGCTGCAACTAACCATCATCTTCAATATTGGTTTCATCTGATGGTTATTTTTCGTGGGTTATAAATGAATCATTTTGTTTATGTCAGAAAATTGTGAACAATCCTTGCTGAACGTGATGTATTCAAATTGCTTGTTTTATTCTACCAACAGTTTAAAACCCAAAGATATTTAGTAGCTATACAATCACAGATGGCACAAACAAAGGTATCACATCCTCTGATTTCAGAAGCTGGAAACAGCAAATGTTTGGTGTCTATGGTAATAGTTGCTGCTGAGTTTTTCTGTCGCTCTACCAATAGATTTATCAACCAATCACTGTAGCTCAAAAATGCCCGATTTTTTTTTTTTGCCACTTGGGGGCAGCACAAACAATTTGCGAAACCAACATTGAAATCCTTTTAGATATGGCAAAATTCTTGGAAAACAATTTCTTATTCATACAGCCAGCAGTTACATAGAAACATGAGCATTCATTTGGCGTCATGTTCCTGGCCGTCCGATGAATGTAAGCCCAAAACTGACCTTTTTTATTTTTTTGAGTCTGTTTTGGTCTCTACCAGCTCCTGAGGGGAATATCTGGCTCTTTAGCAGCCAAATGTTCCACTGTGTTCACCAGCTAATCTCTAAACTGTGTCTATCTGCTGTTTGCTGCTGAACAGGTGGAGTACAGTGGTTTTTTTAGGGGTTTTTTTTTTTTTTAGAGCTTTTTCTCTGTAAACAGCTGCCTGCTGCGGCTGAAAATGACTCTGTGAGAGTAGTGAGAGTGAAACAAACGGCAAAGTTGCAGCCGACAGATAAAAAATGAGCTGAAACTATAAAGCTCTGCAGTCGAGGGGAGAAGCAGAGTCAGATTATAATCCTCTGCAGATTCATCACTACAAGTGACCCCTTCCTCATTGTACACTGTTTTCACATTGTCATTTGATATATTATTATTATAAATATAGATTATTAGTTTAAGGGATCTTTATAAAAAAAAATGTTTATTGTCTATATTTAGGCAAAAAAAAAACAGCTGATATATTGTTATTGTTCTTGGTATCAGTATCAGTATTGGCCTCAATAATACAAAATAACCCCCAAAAAACAACAACACTACCGACTCAAGTGTGGAAAAGCTCCCACAGCTGAATGAACATCTGTCTCAAAAATTTTCAGCCAACAATCATTTTAATTATTGATTAATCTCCTGATAATTTTTTCATTGATTGATCATTTGGTCTATAAACTGCTGGAAAATGTTGAAAAATGCTCGTCACAGTTTCTAATTGAGTCTTCAAATTGTTGCAACCCTTATTTTGTCTCTGTCAACCTTAAAATGTTCACTTAATTTTGACATAAGAGAAAAGAAAAGTAGCAAACTTTCACAAATAAGGAGCGGGAACTAGAGAGTGTTCATTGTTTGTAATGATGATTAATTGCATGATTAATTGATGATGAAAATAGCTGCTGATTTTTCCAACTAATCGATTGATTGACTAATTGTTGCAGATCTAGTTTTAAGATTCATAAGAAGAGGGCTTATTGTAGGGCTGCATTGGATTGTACAGGTGTGACTGAAGAGTATTGGACATTTGCGTGTGTGTGTGTGTGTGTGTGTGTGTGTGTGTGTGTTCGCTCTCCCCTGTGTGCTGCCTTGCTGCGGGTTGATGCGGTTGCTGATATGCCTTATTGGTTTATTTTATTGCTTCGAACAGATATTAGCTGAGGTCGTCTGATATTCTGTTGCTCCTGAAGCACTGCGGCCGCTCTCATAATGAAGTGCAGAACATCTCGGCGACAACTGTCGAGATCACAGCGGTGCATTATTGTGCGACTGTACCTCATGTAGCATTCATGGGTTCAACTCCCTGCCCTCCGATTTATTCAAGACTCTGAGAGATGAATGCTGAGAGAGTTTTATGAGAAGCTCTGAGTGAGTTTTTAATTTAAAAATATTACTCAGGCCTACACTGATTGTTGTTGTGAGTCACAAACATCTGGCTGTGGTTTGGGTTTTTTTTTTTCAATACAAAACCTTTTCTTGTGAATTTCCTGTTTACCACCAAACTCCTGTACAGTTAACATGAATTATGCAGGATTTCTCTTCTGCAGCTGTGATTCGATTTGGGAATAGAATTAGTTTTTTTTTTTTTTTTTTTTACCCATACACACAGGGAAAATAAAAGACGTATAGTGGCTCGCTGTAGCGGTGCTGCAGAGAAGAAGGAAGCTGAGGCTGTGGTGTACTGTATATGATCTGGGCTGGAAGCCAGTGTACGTGAGAGAGGTGGGGTAGGGAGGCGGAGGCGGAGAGAACGAGCAGTTGCTACTTTCTCTCCTATTAAACTGACAGGCAGATGATGCACTGAACCGGATCTTGATTTGCACCCACAGGAATACCTGGGTAAAAAAGATACACGTTCGTTTCAAAGGGGAAAAAGTCAGTTGGTATTGACCAAAAGAAAAATAAATTGTGTCTGATGCTCATGTGGGCTTTTTTATCCGTCTCCTCTTCTCACACAAACGCTTGACATAACATGGAGTATATGTACTGTATGTAAACAAATATACTGCTCAGTGTGTTTTCAGCAGGTTTTGGTTTATGCTTTGTGATGGTACCTGTGACCCATTTCAGTTTCAAAGTGCCTAAAGGCAAAGGTCTGGCTTTCAAGGAGAGATTCCTTTTGGTTCATTGACCTGAGCCAGAGCCATGGCCTCGAGCCTCGAGTAAATGTGTAGATGTAGATAGCGAACACTGACTAAAACATCCTGAAAATGTGGCCTGAAACTGAAAAGCTTTTCAGTATGCAGTCAGATCAAATTCTTCCTGATTTACTGCAGTGCTAACCTACTAGCACTGCTGCTAGTTAGAACGATGATTGTTAAGGTCACTAATCATAACCAAGATCCTTATCAGCTCATCAGGAAACCATATTCATCTCTCAAAATAGCAGAACACCATGACAGTGCAATCTTGGTATCATTTGAATTTAAATTTATGGCATTCAATTTGATTTATTTTTCTTTTGAATCTCATATTTTGCTTGATGCCGGTCCTTCCGCATACAGTACGTACTGTAGGTAGGATGTGATTAATCAAGGCAGTGTTGCTTATGTGCATTTGAAATTAAGAGGAGTTAACCCTACAGTATGTAAATGAATTAAGATGCTTCCTGGAGTCATGTTATTGTTATTTTGTACAAAGCCATTATGTCACTCACTGAAACTAGTTTTCTTTCAGGAATGTTAATTAGGAGGCAAATATGTGACCGTGGGGACTTCTTTAAATACAAGGAAATGGGTCTTCTTGACGTTAATGTTGCTGTTTATAAAACTATTTTGTGTAAGGGCTTGTATAATGTAATTGAGACGTTTAAAGCTCTACTTTTAGGTCAGACGTTTTGTGTGATTTGTGTTTTCTGTTGTTTTTTTTTTGTTTTGTTTTGTTTTTTTACCTGTAGTTAGAGACAGCCTCTGACCTGCCTCTCTGAAAACCTCACAGGGCCCCTTCCCAACAATAAAGCCTGTAAGTCTGTCAACCAAAAACAAAGCTATTCATACGTTCACAAAAGTTTATACAGATTATAAAAGCAAACAGATATTAACATAATGTGCTCCATATGGGTGATGCTGAAACAATTTCCAGCTAATGTCAACAACAGAAAGACAATGTAATGAACAGGCAGAATGACAACATCAGTCCAATTGTCATGAGTTCTTTTAGTATGAGTCAAACCAAGAAGGAGGCATTTGAATTAGCCGAAGGCATGACATTTATTGTGAAAATCCAACAGGTTTAGTGGTAGTTGAAGTGGTTGGGCTGCTTGTTCTGTATCAACAAGCTTGGGTTGTTTCTTTTCATTAACGCCATATTCACTCTCCATTAAGACTATTTTGAGTCTAACATGCTGTAATTTGCAAAGTTCCTTGCAGAGTTTCTAAGAAAACAGTAGTAATCAAAATCATATGAGAACTTGGTCTTTAAATACCTCTGACGTAGTTTAGTTGTGAAAGCAGGTTTCGGGCCTGTGGTTTTAATTTAACAACTTTTGTTGAGAATTGCTCGCACTTTGTGCTTTTTAAAGTGTCCCTGAAGTGCTTTCTCTGTCACATGGGATACCTTAATGAAGATACATGAGCTTATTTTTACTCCACGTAGACAAAAAAAGCCTTTGGTTAGTTCAAAATTACTTGTTTCGGGCTTTTTCGAAACCCATTAGAGGAAGAAGAAAAGAATCTGGACAGTCCATCCTTTCCCAGGTTGTGTTGAATATTTGCATACTCTTAATATCTCTAAGTGCCTAC